TTTGGGCCCCTCATTACAGGAAGGATATAGCCAGGCTAAAGTCAGAGTTTCAAAGGGCCACAAGGTTGGTGGCCGGTTTGCAGGGGATGCCCTATGAGGCGAGACTGAGGGAACTGGGTCTCTTCAGCCTGGAGGAGACTCAGAGGGGATCTGTTGGCGACATACAGGTGTGTGAGGGGATGTCACATGGAGGTGGGCAGAGACCTGTTCTCCCCTGCAGAGGAAGGCAGGACGTGCTCCAACGGAGCAAAGCTCAGGGAGCCAAGGTTCAGTTTGGATGCCAGGCAGTATTCCCGAGGGTGCGGAATGGGCTTCCACGGGAGGTTGTTGAGGCCCCATTGGTGACGGTGTTCAAGGACAGGCTGGACGTCCACATGGTGGGCATGTCATGAGCAGAGCTGGCTGCAGCCGGGGGTCAGACTAGATGGCCTGACTGACTCATTCAGGTATCTCTGTTTCTCTGGCCTTTCGCTTCCCTCAAAGAAGCTACACTGTTTGTATACATGCCTGCCATGCGCTCCCACCTCTCATTTCAAATTTTGGGAGTCTGCACCCCAACAGCTCCAGCAACCGGACATTAAGCCCCTAAGCCGCCGCAGCAGAAAAAGACAATTAAAAGTGTGCGGTGGGGGTGAGACGCTAGCAAAACCTTCACGTGCTTTCTGCCCACAGGAGACCTTCCTCTCTCCTCTCCGATGAGGCAGCCATGGGGAAGGGGGCATCCAAACAGCATGAGAACTTGCACACAAAACCATTTTGGCAGACCTAAAGGGAAACCGCCCAGCACACTTAGTGGGATTCCCTGGGCCGGGGATTATGGGAGAGCGGCTGCGGCAGCACCTCCGTCCCGCCGCAGCCCACGTTCACCCACCGTCGTCGTTCTTGTCGTTCACTTCCGCCCCATAAGTGAGCAGGAGGCTGAGACACTCGGTGAGCCCCTTGGAAGCCGCCAGGTGGAACCTGCACGAAGGAGAGGAAATCAGAGCCTTTCCCCTTTTCTTTGCAGACGATTTTCGCTTCTCTTTCCTTTTTTTCTTCCTTTCAGAGAAAAGGAACACCAGGAATCTCGAGAGGGTGCCGTTCTCCACGTTACCTTGTGTTAACTTGAGATATCTAAATGCCTGCATTGCTTAATCATTTCTAAATTCAGAAAAACTTCTCAGCAAGCATGAGAGTGCTCTCGTGATCTAACCTCAGTAGTAACGCTTTGAAGGCAAGATGCCAAAGGGACGACCAAATTCGAAGCCCACCTGCAAGGATCGCGGAACAGGAGTGCAGAACCTGAAAAACTCCCAAGGCAGCCCTCCCCCCCGGAGGGTTGTGACACACACAGCATCTTCAGGTGGCCACAGGACGGGGTGACGGGGCAGAAGCTGCTGGAATCAAGCAACGGGGTGACCCAAGGAATAAGACCCATATTCCATGTTGGGATTTTTGGCCACTGGGGACTGAGGCCAGACAACCCAATCAGAATGCCCAGAATCCCCCAAACTTGGAGGTTACTGGCATCCTCCTGAGGATGAAATTTCACCTGTTTAAATGTTTTGCAGTTGCTCACAGGAGGTCCTGCCAGATGCCTCCTATCCTGCCAGATGCCTCCTATCCTGACAGAACTGCACCCTTCCCTTCCCTTCCCTTCCCTTCCCACACCTGCTCCCAGGTTGGTCATGCAACAGGGCTCTGCACAGGGCGCCGAGAGACCCACAGGAGCTTTCTGCGGGCACTCCAAATTTCCTACAGCTTCTCTAGACAGCACCTGACAGCTGCAAGATTGTCCCTTCATCCGTTTTCTCCCCTGTGACGAGAAGTGTTGCTTTTCCATCAAGTAACAGGATTTCTTCTTCTAAATTTGCACTTGCAAAATGGTGCCCTCTTTTTGGCTGGTGGCTGAGTCGGTGCGCTATTTGGCAGTTGTCACCAACTGGCTCCACTCCTCAATTAAAACACTTAATTCATCAAGCCACTGTATGAGTTTGAACTGATCAATTAATCAAGGTTGTAAAATTTTCCAGATGAATTCAACAACTATTCTAAAGAAGAAAGCATGGCCTTTTGCTTTTAAAAGATGCATGTGGCTTGTAGCAGATGTTTTATTAGCAGAGATACTAACTCTTGTTTTAGGAGGAAGAAAAGGGCTTGAATTTATAAACACAATAAAAGTGTCCTTTTTTCTTTCTTTTTTTAGAAAATCAGGGTTCCATTCAGCATGGCACCTTTTAAATCAATGTCATGATTAGCGCCACTTAAAAATATAAAAGAGGACACCACTTTGCACAAAATGCGCATGCAGTACTATGTATGGATCTGCACACATTTGGAAATAATCATTGTCATTTAAATTAAAATCCCAAGCCCAGCTGTCAGTGCGAGAGTGCTTCCATCAGAGCGGGCCAGACAGGTTCCCCGGCTGATGGAGAGCAAGAGCAGCGGACGCCTTGGCTGGCCCCTTGGCTTAGCGAGCACGAGGACTTCCTGCTTGAATCCTCTTTACTTTCCTTTTCCACCAGCTGGAGCACCCGCCGGGCTCGCCCTGGATGGAGACAGGTCTGAGCTGGATTCAATATTTCTAAAAATGCAGCGTCAACACATGTCTGCTCGCTTCTCTTCCCCGGGGCTCCAGCGGCCTCAAAGGGTGCGGATCTTTCGGTCGGCCCTAATGAAAACATTACTCTGTCTGGACCGTGCAGTCTTTCCTTCCCCCAAGAAGGCGCTTGTTTAGCAAGCTGGAGAGATCGGGACAGGGAGAGCGGAACAGAACGTACGCAGATTGCCCCAAGGCATTTAGCTTGGTGGGCCTTGCCGTCTTCTTCGAGGCGAGAGCGGAAACTCTGCCCACATCCCCCTTCTCGACAGCATCAAAGAGCTTCTGGTCATTCTTGTTCCAGCTCTCCACCTGGTTGGCGAGAGAATGAGGGATGGTGAGGAATTGCTGATCACTGCACGTGGTTCTGTGAGCCCACACGCCCCGCATTTACTATGGGGAGACCGAACACGGTGCTAAGAAGACGCTTCCAAGTCCATTTTTAAACTTATTTTATTTATTTATTTAAAGTTTTTCTATTCCGTCCCATTATTAAAAGTCTCTGGACGGCTTGCAAAGGACAAAAAAACATAACAACAACAGCACACAACACACCGCATCCAATGATAAAATGATTTAACATAATGATAAAAGCAAGGATAAAACCAATTAATTGTTAAAATGTCAGGAAAATAAAAAGGTCTTCACCTGACGCTAAAAAGAAGAGCGATGGCGCCAGGCGAACCTCCTTGGGGAGTGTGTTCCACAGTTGAGGCGCCACCGCAGAGAAGGCCCTGTTCTGAGTAGCTACCCTCCTGATTTCCCTCAAAGGGGGCTCCTGGAGAAGGGCCTCTGCCTCCGTCCTCAAGGGGCGAGCTGGCACAAAGGGAAGAAGGCGCTCCTTCAGGTATCCTGAACCCAAGCGGTTTAGAGCCCTATAGGTCATCACCAGCACCTTAAATTGGGTCTGGACTTTAACTGGCAGCCAGTGTAAACGATATAGGACTGGCGTGATGTGGGAGTCCCTGCCGGTCCCCGTTAATACCCCGGCAGCTCTGTTCTGCACCAACTGAAGCATCTGGAGCACCTTGAAGGGCAGCCCCACAGGGCGCAGTGCAGTAGCCCAGTGGTTCCTTGGCCTGCTTCCGCAACCACCACAGGCAGTGAGAAGGCCCCACAGGGCATCCCCCTCCTCCAAGCAAAGCCCCCTTCCCTCCGTTGGTTCTCCTCACGACCCTGCAGAGAGGAAGAGCTCCCCGCACCCGCTGCTTCCAGCACAGGGTGGGCATCCTGGCATGCTGCCACCGGGTCCCTCAGGCACCGCCATGCGCCCCCAACCCGGACCTGCGCCTGTGTGGGAGCGCTCCTTGCACCCAGAGCAAAGGCGGGCCTTGCCAGACCCAAGAGCTGCCCTGGCGAGCGGCTGCGATAGCCCCTCTCTCCTCAGGGGCGCCCTGGGACCCTGCTGCTCTGATCCGAGTCCTTCTCGGCTGACCCACGGGAAGGCAGCTCCCAGAAGCGCCCTCCGGGGAAGGGCTGGGGGGCTCTCCGCCCGGCCCGCTTTGCCCTGGGGCCCCAGGACCGTCTGCCGAATGGCATGTGGCCCTCGGACCGAAACGGGTTCGGCACCTCGGGTGCAGCGGAGACGGAGAACCACCCACCCCAGTTGCCTAGCAGGTGCTCAGCGCGAGCCAGGACACAGAGCCGCGGGCGCTGGGGGGCGCTGTCATTTCTGCCACGACCTCAGTCCTGCTGCTCTTTCTAGGACCGCAGGACAAGCTGGCCCAGTTCCCAGGAAGCGCCGAGTCTTCTTCCTCATGAATTAGCGGAACTGGTTGCCTCAGGAGAGAACAGGTGCTGGAAAAACCGCCTGGAACCGTCTGCGAGATTCCCCACACCTCACAAGCCCCCAGCCCTGGGCCAGATGACGCGACATCCGCCGACGAAAGGAGGCCGAAGCGAGCTGCCGCTGACGCCCCCCAGCCGGCATCCCGCGTGGGGGGGCCCGGCCACGAGGCTCCCTCGAGCCACGCACACTGCAGCAAGGCACATTCCAGGGTGCCGAACGGACGTGGCCGCAGCGAAGCGCTAGAATCCCGCGGCCAGGCGCCAGAGGCCCATGCGCGCCCTTCTAACTTGGAGCTGGGCCTCCTGACGTCACATTGCTCTCCCTCGTACACTGTGCGAACCCTCCGTTATCAAAATGCCACGGACTGTCTTCGTGCTCCGGCACTGTGGTGAGGAGGGGCGAATTCTGCTACTCCAAAGAAGGCAGCAGGGCCCCAGCCCCATGCCCATACCTCCACTGAACAGGTCTCGGCTAGGAAGGATATCGTGCAGTCTGCATCCCAGGAGAAGGCTGGATCTGACTGGCGGTGAGGGCTTTTCCCTTCGTGGGCTGAGCAGCTGAGCGGCGGGGAAGCTGCCGGATGCTGCTGCTGAAATCATCAGCCACAGATACGAATGAGCCTGGTCTTCTTGGGGTCCCGCTGCTGGCCAGATTCTTCCGGTGGCCTTGTGGGGGGGGGGGCACCAGTTTGCCTTCCAACAGGGGTGCATCTGGACAGGTGCGCTTCAGCGCTAATATGGTGCAGTGAAATCCTGGTTAAAGAATATCCGGTCCCGTCCAGTGAAGACACCAGCAGGAATTCGCCCGACCACCTGTGAAGAGCAGGGATTTCCCAGGCCGCTTTCACCAGCCTCCCCAGGCGTCCCATAAAGCTCCAGGCATCCGTGTCTCCTTAAAATTCACCCTGCTAACTTGGACCATGAGTCCGGGTGCTTCTTCTGTGCCGTGTGTGTTCAGACACTTTTTTGGAAAGCAAGTCCATTTGGCACGGCAGAGAACACAGTGGAAGAAAATCCAGTTTTGATGGCAGTCACCAGCGAAGGAACACGCCCCGCGATGATCAGTGGGGCTGTTTCACAAGCGCCCACACCCCGCGGTTGCTTAAATCCTCACCGCACTGGGAAAACACACCTGATGAGACCAAAGGAGAGGCAGCAGGCGGGGAGCCGCTTTCTGCTCTTGCTCCATTTTGCTCCCAGGCAGCCGGGAGAGGAACTGGAGGTTGGGCTCTCCAGCCGATTGACAGCGCCAATATTTGGTCACCTCAGTTCCGTGCCTTCCTCCAGGACGGGGCCCAGCTTTTGTCCTGACCCCGTTATCCAGCAAACGTGGCAAACGACCCCGACTGGCGAGGCCAGCCTCTCAGTCCAGCGCTTCCACCACCCACCTGGGGCCTCTTGCCAGTGTTCCTGGGGCCCTCCCCCATTTTTTCTGGGCCTGCCCTGCGGGGATGGGAATGCTCTGCAGAGGTGCCACGCCACAGGGCAACGGAGCCGGTCCAGCCTGGGCACCGCTTCACGGGAGCGGATCCTGCCCCACAGACTGTCGGCGCAGGGGATTCTGCCCAAGGGCGGGCCGAGCGGGGCCTCCCTCCTCCCCGGGAAGCCTGGGCAGGCGCCAGCCTCACACACACGGAGCCGGGCGGTGTGCCAAGCGCTGTGGAATGCCACCGCCGGCTCACCTGCTCAGCCCCCCTCTTTCCTGGCGGGGGGTCACCTGAGGCTCTTTGCAGGGGCGGGGGGGGTCGCGAGAAGTGCAGCGCACAAGCACCCCCTCCCAGGGTCTGCGAACTGCGCTCACCGCCCCCGCCCCCGCGGCCGAGATCCCGCACAGGCACTGCCGCGCCGGGCTCGTCTGTGCATCCGCCCCATCCCCATCTTTACCGCCACGCCCGCACCCCCACCGCCAAAGTTTCCCGGCCTTGAGGGCTAGCAGCTTTCCCTCTGTTTAAGCCCCAGCGTCTCCGCGGCGGAGCAGGGCTGCCGCGGCCAGCACCCTGCGAGGGTCGCCCGCACCCGGGGGCGCACAGCGGCGACCCAGCACCGCGGGGAGCGCGCCTCACCGCCGGGGCCGCGCCCGCTCCCCCGCCCCGCCGCCGCCGCCGCCGCCGGAGGACGAGCCCGGCGCGCGCCACTCACCGCCACCTGGTTGCTGGAGC